GGTGCCGACCAGGCTGAGAGGGGATGATCTCGGGTTATTACTGAGCCTCGTCACCTCTCCGGCCCTGTGTAACACTGTTCGTTGATGTCAGCTTGGTGTAACCACCGCCTGGAGGGCATCTGGTGTGGTAGTCTGGCGAGACAGGGTCCAGACGTGACACTGAGGTGTAACGATCAGGTCAACGGGTTCGTCTTCTCGTCTACTCGACTTTTTCTCCAGAGTTCGGAGGATGAATCATGTCACGTTGTCGACGGCCGACGATTGGTGGTAGTAGTCTGATGTGTGGGGTAAATAGAGTGTGGTGTTTGGACTGGTGATAGCGGAGCCGGCAGCCGTGACCGGCGCCGTGTCTGGGTGTCACTCACCTGTCTGCGAGCCGGCTGGGTCGTGTCCCGGCCCGCCCGACCCACCGGAGCACCTTCAAAGGGGGCGACTGGGCTGTGCCGGGGCGGCGGAGGTCGCGCCATACCGCCCCGCCGGCTGTGGCAGAGACTGGTGCTAAAAGGAACACAAACTAAACCGATTGCGGTGGGTTGATTATTTGTATTCTGTTCACAGCACATGGTGGCTGAAGATGTCCAAGCGGTTCAAGTGTTTGCAATGTTCAATGGTTTGCCGGTAGATTTTGGTCCCCTACCATGATAATTTGAAGTCAAAAGGTCGCGCAGCGATTTGCCGGTTATTTTTGGAATATCTGGGTGATTAAAACAGTAGTAAGTCCAAGGTATTTTACAATTTGTCATGTACCCCTCGATTTTAGTGGCAACTCCTCAGCATATATGCCCCCTCTTTCGCTGCCGTCTCCTCGGCCACCAGGTGCGGTGGAGACGACAGGCCGCTGCTGTGGCCGACCACTTTGTTCAGCGGTGGCGTCATTGGGCTCCTCCGACCACCGGCCGGCCTTGCAGTCGCCGACTCTGATCTCGTGATCGGGGCCGTATCGCTCGCTTGATGTAGGCTCTCCGAGAACTGGTCGGGTCGACCACGTAGCTCGTTTGATGGCTGTAAGATACATGGCCAGTGCCTTCGAGATGGTCTGGTCTAACTTGCTCGCTCTGTTCATGTTTCTGGTCATCTCGTGGGCGGAAATGTTGACCTGGTGCTGGTCTCAAAGACGCCCTGGTGCGCCCTACTGAGCCACCCGTGCCGCGCCTGAGGCCACATCCCACGCATGTGTCGGCCTGAAGTGGTCAAGGACAGTGGAGCTCCAGTTTGAAGGCAGTGTCTGTCTGTCTGTCTGTCTGTGTGGGCGGATCCCAACTAGTGCAATCAACCCCGGCCGGCTGTTTTACCATCTGTCAGTTAGGGGCGCCGGCGCGGGCGTCTATTTTATTCCCTTCTCGATTTACGGATCAGAGTGAGATGTGCTAGCTGACTTCATACTGTGTGGGATTGAGTGAGTTGTCGAGTTAACTCGGGTAGCCTTGGCAACATTTGGGTTGTTTGTTTATTATGCTGCCGTTATCCTATATACGGCAATGTTTTCGGCGAGGCATGGGTGAACCACTGTTGTGTGGGGCGTTTTATTTGGTAACATACTCGCTCGGACGGGAGTGGGGGCAGACTTGCGTGATGATAGCACGTGTTATTTTGGGCTCTTCCGACGTTCCGGTTAATTCGACCACCTTCGAGTACCTTATTTGGGGGACACCAGCTCAACACTGGGACCCGCTCCTGACCAAAATTAGCGCCGCACCTAGGGCATCTGTTTGCTGCTGTATTATGTTTATTCGACATGTCTCGCAGGACCTTTCTTTGTTGACTATTTGTTCACCTAAGTTTATTATATGTGATATTTTAGCTTAGGATTAGTTGTAGACTCTGACTTGGTGGCTCTTCTCGGTCCAGACTTTTCCCATTATTTTAGTTCATGCTCCAGTCCATGCTGTGGTCTTCTTTTCTGCTGCTTTTTTTGGAACAGGCCCCAGATGACTGGGAGTTCATTGTCGATTGCCACAGAGTTGTTCGTCGGGCTTGAATTGATTCTGGTCTCGTTTTGCTGTTACAGACCCCACTCGACCAGCAAACATCTTAATTGCATTGGTGCCTTATCCCGCTCAGAAGTAATAAGTATGCGCCTTTATCCCTGAAACCCCACCAGTCTGTCAGTTGGAAAGTTATCCGGTTTGCCATTTTCTGGCCGGGTGCACCGCGGCCCGTGCTGCTCCCTGAAGGCGGCAGCGCCGCGTTGGTATCGGCATTGTTACCCAACCCGCACCGGGGGGACCAGTTGGCTGTTTGTGCCGGACGGCTCGGTCGGCAGGTTTTGTCGGGTCGTCGGCGGCCGGCTGCCACCGGCGCCGCCTTTCTCGCCAATTAAAACACGAACCGAGACAATTGTTCCGCCCGCGCCGTGGTAAATCATGCGTGTTGACTGGTGGCGGCCGAGAGACGGGAGATTGTGCAGGGCTCTGACGGCCGGCGGGGTGGGGCGGCAGTGACTTCCTACTGGTGACAGGTCACCGATATTGACGGCAGATTGAGAGCCTGATTCCCCGCATCGGAATTCGACATTGACATTTGACACTGACATCTGTCTACCACACCCTGTCCTCGGGTCATCACCCCTCTCCACCCTGTCCTGTCACTCATTGCGTTATGTGCGTGCGCGGGTGCCGGTGCGCGGCCCCATCTTGCCAGTGGGTGACGGAGAGACCCTCTCGGCTGAGTGATCGCCGGGCGGCACGGGACGGAGGAAATCGGGACGCCCTCGGGCTGCCGGCGCGGGAGGCCGGCGTGGTTTGTCGGAGAGCCTGATTGGACCCCGTCACGGCAGCGAGTGTTGATTGGCCGTGACTCTGCGAGCCGCCCGGCCCGGTCCGGTCCACTTCATGGCACCGAGCGGCTGTACCGGCCGCCCCTGTTTTGATTACATTCAGACACGAAGCTTGTAGAGAGACTGCTTTCAAACGCTAACGTGCTTACGTCCGAGTTGTTTTTGGACTAGCTGTGTCAGTTTTATTGCGGCAGTTGATTAGTGTCTCGTAGTTCAGCTTACAACTGGAGCCAATGAGTTCGGTCAGGTCCCATCGCATGCCAAATTGCCATCATTTACGGGAACAAACGCGGCACCCTGGGGTCTAACCCTCGACCGCAAACTGCCGAATCGACTCACAGGAGTCTATAAACGCCCTCTTACCTCATCAGCTAAGTGGTCTCTGCCCTCAACTCAGCCGACAGCCATCAAACCGGCCCAGATTGCCCCAATCCCATCCGTCAGTCACTCTCAGTCCGCCGCGCCCACTCGAACTCTGATGAGCTGGGGGCAGCTGGCTGCTCTCCTGTGCCCGCTCCCTCCCTGCCCCACACGCCCGCGGCACGGGTTACGAGTTTACGAGTTACGCGGCTACTGGCGGCGGAAACAGACGACCGCAGCCGGCCGCCGCTCGGCCTTCGTATATCTATCTGAACGGCACGTAACGCCGCCCTACCCCGCTGAATCATCGTTTATTTTCGGTATCAGTCGGTCGGCGCCGAGACAGCCAGTTGGGGGCTGCTCCCTCCGACCGGGCCGACCTGACCTTTTGCCTCCGGATACCTGGTTAGAAGGATGGTGGGTACGGGGAGTTTGTAACACAGGTTTTATCTACCTACCTCGTCTCATTCCCATTATGCATGTCTTTCTTTCTCTCCGTTTATTTGCTTTAGTTCTGGAATGCTGCTTGCCCGACCCTAAATTGCCTGAAATTGACGTTAGCAATGTCAGAACAAAATTACTACACTAAACAGTAAGGCAACTTGATAATCTAATGCAATCGGGTAAAATAGCATCTCATCCCGCGACATTCCTGTGACGGGCTCCACCCATGACCGAAGTGTCACTGGTGAGGCACCAAGAGCCGATGAGGAGCCGGCGTCTCTGTGCCGCGGGCTGTTGACGCGGCTGAGGGAAGGACGACACTGTCCGTGTCCCTCGGTGTCTCTTCGTCCTCTGATGAGCGGATGTGGCCGCAGACGGAGGCACGGCTGACGGACGATGATCAGACGGAGCGGGGACGCCGGTGTTGTGGTCGCCGCTCCGATCTCCGGATCAGCGGAGACGCGCACTGTTGTGACCGGCGATTGGGAGCGGGGTCGTTTGGTGACGTCAGTGCCGGATGGTGGGGTTGGTGGGGATGATGGGGATGAGATGAGATTCTGGGACGATGAGAGAAAGATACTGTCAGCATCGCCGCCACAGCCTCAAATCTGTCCCCGTCACTGCTACTGCCAACGAAATTACCAGTCACTGGCAGTGCCGTCACTACATGCTTACTTCCGCCGCCACCATCAACGCCAACGTCACCATCTCGTCACCAGCCACCACTACACTGTTTCTGTCACTGTCACCGTCATTGTCACATCGCTGCCACCGTCACCACCGCTGCCAATCGCTGCCATTGTTTCTTCCACCGTCACTGTCACCGCGTCACGCATGAGAGCTCCCCTAATGGACCGAAACTCACAGCAGCCTACCCGGTAGTTAGTAAAATTAACACCATCCATTTACCCTTTGTGCCCCGCCATCGGAAGTCGGAACCTTGCGCCCAGCTGCCGGGGTTGTCTCACTTACCCAGCAGAGACGGGGACCGACAATCCTGTGTGCGCACCCGACGATAAATGGGAGCGGCGCCGTGTCGGTGTGAAGGATCTACGCACCGCTGTGTGTCGTGGGCCGGGCGGAGAGAGAAATTAACGGGGTCATTTAGGTCATTAATAATAGCGTCCCCTCCTGACACGGCCGGACTATTTGGCGTGTTCTGAGGCTGGAAATTCGGCGTTGATCGTGAAAAGAGAGAACATGTGGGATCTTTGGAAGAGGGAATGTTGAGCAAACAATTGCGACACGTAAATTTATGGAGAGAAGGTATTTTCGCTGAATCCAATGACCCTGATCAATGAAATCAGTGACGACACCTGGAAATTGTCTCCTCTCTCTCCATCTCCGGCGTCCTCTCGCCGTCTCCGGTTCCAGTCCGCAGTTGTGCCGACTCCACTAACCCGTGTGCAATCATTTGCAGCTGGAGCGTCTCATCACCAATAACTACTTCCTCAACCAGTCGGCCAAGGAGGCGTTCCGCGCCTACGTCCACGCCTACAACTCGCACAGCCTCAAGTCCATCTTCGACATCGAGCAGCTGGACCTGAAGAGCGTCGGCAGGTCGTTCGGCTTCACCGTGCCGCCGGCGGTGGAGCTGAAGGCGCACGCGTCCAAGGAGGGACGCGCCAGGAAGCGGGGCGGCGGCGGAGGCGCGGCATTCGTTCATGACGAGCAGCAGAAGGCCAAGAAGGCCAAGATCTACTCGCGGCCTAAGCCGGGGAAGGGGTTCGTGCGGTGAGACACTGCGGGGCGGGAGGGCGAGTCGGGTACTGGGAGCGGAGCTGGGAGGAGCGGGAGGCCGCCGAGGTGGCCGGTCAGCGGACGGAGGGCCTCCATGCTGGCGTCGGGGCAGCCGTGTGCCGAATAAGGCGGCACGGGGGCGGCGCCGGCGCCTGGCCGGCCTCATAAGGCGGCAGACCGGCTGGTGTTCGGGTGGAGCCGCCGCCCTGCGCCGCCCGCCGTCAGCGCGCCGCGGGGCCGCCACCCGCCTCACCTGGGCGGCCGGCGGGGCGGGGGCGGCGGGCGCCCTGTGACCTGACCGGGCGATCCGTCTGTGTTGTGTGACAGTCGGAGGTGTTGAATGGGAGCAATACACGTCTCACAGAGCAGCTGGTGTGTGTCTGTTGTGTGCCGACGCCGGCGTGGGAGGCGGGAAAGCAGCGGCCGCCCCCGCCGGCCGACCTCACGTCACGGCACGGGGCCGAACACGAACTACGTGGGCATGGGGAAGATGGCCGCGCTCCTACCTAGAATAGAAAGCCTGCCCGGCGACTGGGTGGTGCCCGAACAGCAGTGCCGCTGCCCGGTCTCGCCCTCGCTTCAGATGGGCGTTCCGTTCATGTCGACACCGATTGAGTGGTCACAAGTCGAGATGGCTCGTCATTTTCAAAAAGTGTTTCTTTTTCGGTCAGGTACTGCTTTCCGACCAACTCTGCCTTTGAATTCGTCGATTCCAACCGATGTTTGTTTTTGTTTGCTGGTCGATTATGTTACTCTCTTTTCAATAAACTAGGCAGCACGCTCCCTGTTAATAGTTAGCAATGAGATAATAACATTTTTACCGTCCACGTGGGTTTTAGCACCAATAAATAATGCAAAATAAAATGAATGTCTGCCTCTCAGCGGGTACTCCACCATCGTTTGAAGCCAGGTTTGAAGCAACTGCATGTTTGGTGATCGTTTTATGCTCCAGCTAACGTGATCAGTGACTGCCAAGTGCTCCCGGTATGTGGTTTTTGCCCCGAACCAACCCACTCGCCGGGGCCGTTAACTGTAGCTCAGTGACGTTTAATGGGACGTTACTTCACACAGTTGGTGCCTGCCGTCATCCAAGGCGGTATTGATGGGGGCAACAAGAAGCTTACAGGGTTCTCCAGCTCGTGTAGTTAGCATTGATAATTGAACAGTGGAATCGAATGATAAATGTTAACATTGATGGGTTTTTGGTGATACGGCCACTGCTTTGCCCTTTTTTGCTGCACACTGGTCTTCTGGCGTTTGTTATGCGATTTTGATGGGCGCGGAATTGGTAGTAACACACGGCCAGTTTTTCAGCTCTAAAAACCAGCAACACGTACCAGTATCTTGCAGACAGTCGTAATCCTAGCTTAACACGCTTATCAGAGAATTTTTATCTCCGAGGGCAATATGATCTTTAGAAGTGCTGATTTCCAGCAAATCGTGGGTATTTCCTGGAATCGCACGATTTTTGCCGCGGTGTTTTGGTTTTTGATCAGCACCCAGCAAGGCCACTGTGGGACATTTTAGCCCAGCGCAGAGGTGCTCCGATCGGGTCAATGCTTGCGGTCTCTGGCAAACTGTGTTATTATCTGGGGGCCTGTCGAGTCGTGTATAATTTTTACCATCATCGTGATTGATGCGGTGATTTTATGGCCTTTGCGGCTAACGCGTGCTTGTTAGCGTTTAGGTATGTAGTGTATCTTTAAGATGTTTGTGGCCATTTTATTCCCTTCATACCTACTCTTGGCTTCTGGGGATGTTAAAATCATGAAAATTGTAATTTCATATCGTGTGATTTTAACGTCACGCCGAATGTGCATTAAAATTGAAAACAGCAATGACTCGGCGTATTCCAAGACGAAGGGTAAAAGTCCAACCGGCGCTAGTTACGCGCTCAAATTGGCCAATTGGTGAGTCATGCACCGAGGACTAACTCCGCTCCAAAGCCCAGAATTCCGAGCCACGATGATATTGTATCAATCGTGACTGGCAGGCGTCGTTTCATCTGAGGAGAAAGCAGCTGTAAAAGCCATCACTGTCCCGAGCCGGCCGCTATTTCTTCGGAGCCAGCCGATAGATTTGGAGCGTTGTACGGAGTGAGTCAATCAGTAGCGGCGGAACACCTTCAATTAAAGGGGGGCACTGCCGACTTTTGGTCCCATTCTTTCCATGCAACGCCCATAGGGCTAATGTTAAAATGCCAAAATCAAAGGGGAGCACGGTGCCCCGGTGCCCTCCCCGTTCCGCCGCCTATGAAGTCAATACAAGGAGCACCTGGTGGGGTCATCACTGTTGTATGAGGGGCATTCCACGTCAAGTGAGACAAAAAATGACCATTTTGAACCTCACCTCCTCCGATTTTTGCGAAACTTTGTGAAACTACTCATCTATATGTGAAAAGAAAGGAGACATGTTTTTGTCAAGATATGACGTCACGTTTCCGAGGTATACGTCATCAAACATTGACTTAGGCAAGGCACATTATCATCTTTAAAGCGTCATAACCATTGAAGTTTTAGACATATCACCATGAGACAAAGTGTGAAATGGAGGGAATAGATCAGGCTTTAATTTGAGGATAACAATATTGACATAATTAGCTAATTAATGAACTAAATTAAAATTCAAAAAATAAATTTTGATTTTCTGAAAAATGGGTACCCTTCGATTTTGCTGATTTTCTCATATTTTATTCTCCCATACATAAGCTACATCATATAAAAAAATCCAGAATGGGCCGACGTCTACGTAACTGTCTTTTGGACTTCGGAATGTCTGGCACTCGCGTGTTTCGTTTTAGCAACCAAGGAGAGGCGCTACCCGGAGATGCTTCTTTCTGCCCCAAACCAAAGCAAACCTAGCCTGACCTGACGTGACCTGACCTAATCTAACATGCGTAAATATGTACAGCCCTCACGGCAGTTGCCGACTGGCCAAATGCTACTTAGATACGAACATTAGCCCTCACATTTGCCGGCTGGCCAGATGCTACTTAAAAAACGAATGCGTGTTTAAACACTTGAGGCTAACCGGCCACGAGCCAGCCACCTTTAGATTACGAGGTGGGTACCCTCGGCACACTAACTACTAAGCCACGGAGATAGCTGGTCATCGCGGAGATGTGAGCCAGTTTTTTTTTTAAATGATGCAATTGGGCATTCTCCGGGCAGCGCCTCTCTTTGGTTGCAAAAAGGAAATACGCCTGACTCTCCCAGCGCTAGGGGAGAAAGGCCCGGTTTAGCCAAAAAAGGTATAAAAAAACGGAATTTGAATTGTAGGTGGGGCGGTGGGGAACTTTATCGTGTGCCAATTTCATGGCCCTAGATCAATATCTTCAAGATCAAATGAGGTTAATCGTGATGAAATTTGCTATGGTGACTATTTTGCGTTTATACGCCCATAGCTCTAAGAGTTACTGGCCGATTTTCCTATTTCTTCCTTTTTACGACATTTGTAGTGTTATGAGAATATTTAGATAATCTAACCATAAATTTGGCAGTTAGTGGCCTGCTAAGAGTAAGATGTCGCCGGCAAAGGCGCGGGGATCGGCCGACGCGGAAACGTTTCAGTCACAGATTGTGTTTGCACCCTAATAATTCAATTTTTACCAGTTGGTTTTCGTATTTATTTGACCATTAGTTTGCCTGTACATTTTTAAGCCTTCACACAAAATTTGACACGAATCGATCATAATCAGCGGTAAGAAGCGCAGTGCAAAGATGGAACCGTCCGGCGCCGGCACAGTCTACCATTCAGGCGGCAACGGCCGACGCCGGCCGCCGCGCCGCTCCGGCAAGATGTTTGACTTTACACCGCTATTACTAGAAAAGTTGTGGACCGATTTACCTATTGCTTGCACAGGAGGATTTGCAATTCAATTCTGGACAGATGCTGAAAGTTTGACGTTAATGTGATAGTTATGGCGTGAGTTATTGGCGAAAAACAGGTGGGGTTGGCGAAATCCGCCCCTTCCATCGCCCGTGCTACGTTGCACTACTTGTTGCTATATCATCCAAAGTTATCGTTGGCCCACTCTAATTTTCTCAGCACGTATGCCTTACGTGTGGTGGAAGATAATGTCCAAATTTGAGCAAAATCGAAGGGTACCCATTTTTCACAAATTAGATTTTAAGAAATTAATTCAAAATAAAATAAATTCAAAATCACCAAAAAAATGTTAAAATTGCCAAATTTAACTAGCATAACTCCTCGTGTTCACGTTTCCGTTTGTTTGAAATTAAAAGCTTCAAAAATGCTGAAGCTATAGATCTTTCAAGATTGCAATACACGTCCAATTCTGCTAAAAAAGCAGAAGTTTAGCGGCTTGTATCTCTGTAGCCCGAGGGCATATGACAAAATCCTTTGACCCTCAGAGGTTTCACCCAATAGCCAACAAGTATACCAAGTTTGAACAAAATCGCAGAGGTGGCCGATTTTGGCTGTCCCGGTTGACATGGAATGCCCCATGAACGAGCTCTGGCTGCCCCGGCGCTGGTGTCTCGTCTGTGGTCGAAGTACCGGCCGCCTCCCCGCCGAGTTCCCATTCCATCCCCTACTGAGGTGTGTAATGTGTGCGTCGAGCAATTCCCAGTCGTACGTCAAGTGTTGGACCGGCGGTCGCTGACGCCCGACTTTATGCTGTTGGGTGTGGTGTAGATAAGGTATAAACACACTTTGTGTCAAAAATAATTTGGCATGATGCTGGATATGGGTGTTATCTGGTTTCAACAATAACATAATGGCCAAACATTTATGACATTCGTTCTATTTTCATGTGCTTTCATCAGGATATCGGATTCAATTTTTCTCGTATCGTAGTAAGTTTTCACCATCTGTGAATGAATAATATTGTGACTGCGAGGTGGCGCAACCTGTGCCAGGAAATGTGACAAATAGCCATGGAGTCAGACGCTGGAAGAAACCTACGAGCGGTGTGATATTCTAAGGCGACGATAAATAACGGCTAACGCAGATATTTTCGGATAGTTCTGAGAATGAGTCCCAGAACCTCGAACTGCTTCCAGCGCTACGGCGTGACGCGAGAGCAGCTTTTTCGCCTCGTCATGTCGCAAAAAGTGCAACACCTCATCCAGTTTCTTCCGCTGTGGTGTTCACAGCTGGTCCCTCTCATCGCGCTAAGAGGTCATGACGGGTCATTATGAGCTGCGGCGGCGGGTGCCAGGCTCACCCTCCCCGGTGGCTCTGACGGCGCCGCCTGCCGCCAGTGCGCTCAGTTCGCCACATCAGCCAGCCGAGCCCAAAATACCGGCCAACGCATTAGTGGCATCGAGCCTGAACAAACGCCTCTGGCCGGCACTGAAAGGCCGTGGCCCGTGTAGCGGTGTGCCCAGGCCCAGGCGGCGGCGGA